TGTTCTAATTCCAATAAAACATGGGCTGCACATGATTGACGTCACAATTGAAATTGTCACGTCAGTTAAATTTTGAACAATGCCGGAGATCAAAATGGACATTTGTGCTGGTGTTGCTCGCTAGGAAATTAAATAAAATCATTCTAAAAGTATAAAAGTTTAAATGTATCTGTTCATTTTTATCGTTAAACTGTTGATTTTCTATAACGTTTTTTGTTCATCAAATCAAAATGACTGTCTTTCGAGCGTGTATCATGGTATTATATTTCCGCTTCGAAGTTTAAATTTTCCTATTAGATAAAATAATAGACAAGTCGTCATGCGTTTTAGTCGAAAAAACTTATTTTCAATCAATTAATACGAACAGGAGCATTATATTTGTCAACATTTAACACCTCGCTAATGCTCGGTATTAAGATATTGACAAATATAATGCCTACCCATGTTAAAATGAGCATAGAGCATGGCATGAAAGAATTAATTCTTAAATAAATACAAAATCAACGACCATTAATTGATTGAAAATAAGTTTTTTCGACTAAAATGTATGACGACTTATTTTATATCAAGAGGAATAAAGACACAAAGGGTCAAACAACCATCGAAATTCGAATGAGCGACCAAAAATGTCAGAAAATAAAAGAGATTAGAAACAATCTTCTCAAATGAATTGTTACTAAGACGAGTAAAACGATTCGCGTGATAGACACGAGTATTCCAGAAGGATATGTGCAATACCAGCCTCACATGTAAGAAACGATGAGTTCCATTCATTTTGATGGTCAAGTAAGGTCATGAACGAGGAAAGAACGAATAAATTATGACTATCATACACACACACTACGTTTCGGGTGCTGTTTTAAACCATTCAAAACAGTTTTAAAGCACTTGATATTAACCGTTAAATAGTTTAAAGAGAAGTTGAAAAATTTACAAATTTACTCTGTAAGACAGAACTATAGATTGACACCACATAATAAAACATAACCGTTACAGTTAGCTATTTTTTTTCTTTTAAAGGAACAAAGTGGAATAACCTAAGAGGTACGTAAAATGAGTCTATGTCTCATAAATATCAAGCCATATTTAAAAAAAACTGTTGGACACTAGAATTGGGCTTAAAGAATCATCTCATGATGTTAAAATAATCATTTTAGTAATGGACTGACGATTTGTCCATTGTAACTTATTTGTTATTCTTTCCTGCTGATCATTTTACCTGTAACAGTTTACAATTTTTCCATATCTACTTTAGTTTTTGCCTAAAAAAAAAAAAAGACACGGTTAAAAATTACCACTGAAGGACAATAACTCCTATGAATAGTTGACTGACGATCTCGACCATGTTGACTTACTTGTGGCACTTGTATAAGACTTACCGATCAATTTTGACGTCAAATGTTTTATTTTTCTATTGTAGTTTTCAAGATTAAAGCCAAAAAAGCAAGAAACTCAAAAATTAATAAAAATCGTAATATAAGGGCAAAAGCTCCTGTAAAAAGTTGATTTATGTTTCCACTGTGCAAATTTATTTATTGAACTTGTTGATATTTTTTGCTATTCAAAGTTTCTCTCTTATCATTAGAATTGTCAAGATATTAGCCAAAAGCTGTGAAATTTGCCAAACATTGGCATTTTGTGTAGAAAATTTTTTACAATGCATTATTTAAATCACTAGTAAGAAGGAAGATGCTAAATGGCAATTTAAAAATTGCTTACATGCTACAACTTAACAATATAAAGCTGCAGACCAAATATCAAATCATTTCCTTTCATACAAGCCAGAAAACTTTCGGACAGACGGACGGACGGCGTCGAGTGGTTACTAGACCTGCTTGAGCCTTCGGTTATGCAGACCAAATATTAAAATCATTCCCTTCAGTAGGAGCCGGACACACTTTGACTATCGGAAAACAGGAAGTGGCTAAATGGCAGATGTAGAAATAGCTTACACGCTACAGACCAAATATAGAATCATTCCCTTCATAGAAGCCAGAAAACTTTCGGACGGACGGACGGAGTCGAGTGATGACTAGACCCGCATCAGCCTTCGGTGACGCAGCTGAAATGTATGACAATTAGCCTAAAGTTTGGTCAAAGGTCTTATTCGAGATAAAAAAAACCCATGCGTAATGATGAGAAAACCTACTTAACATTCTACCTTACTCCCAATCTCCGTACAGGGCTCGTTTCCTTTCCATATACTCTGTACGCTACAATACGTCATAACAGTATAGAGTATAAATAAACTGTAAACCTGCTCGAGTTTATTTATACTTTATACTGTTATGGGGAACTCTCGTACCTTATCGTGCTGTTCAATAACATTCGGAACATTTGTTGAAGGGAACCGGATTTAGAGTTGTCGCCAATGCAATACTTCCGTCAATTAAGAATCAAAATACGACGACACGACGAGCAAAATTGATCCGTTCTGTCAATAGACGTCGAATTATATTAAAAGTGCCGGCACTTTAAGAAGAGGAATGTTTGCGAAAACGCGTCATGGCCACTGACCCAAAGGAAATGAAAGATTTAATGAAATAGAATTGGGATTCCTCTTAGAATTCACGTAGGAAAAAAGGTGATAAGGTACGAAGTGAGATACCTTCTCTCTATATAAATATATCAGTGACCGCTGTGGATAGTTAACTTGGAATTGATACTAAACAGAAAATACAAGTTAATTGTAGTATATGTATGCTCTTACAATACAGAAAGACACGAAAATAATTGAAATAAATTAGAAAACGAAAAAATAACAAATTTTGGAAACAAGGGGGAGGGTAAAAAAAATTGTCCTGTCCCCAAGTACCTATGGATATGATGAGATCTCTGGTAGTGGCTTTGGCTTTGTGTACAGTACATTCAAATGGATTCCTTTTTGGAAATGGTAAAATGTGAATTGCTTGAAAATTGTTTATTCAAATATTTAACTTGTAAAATATGCTTTGCTGTTTGTTTTCGATATTTTTTTCATAGAATGAATGAGATATCAATGAGGAGAAAACGCTATGTTAGTTTGTTAAAATACTTACAAAATAGACTTATCTAGATATTTGCATGGCGTTGTCAGTTTATTTTCGACTTATAAGTTTGAATGTACCTCTGGTATCTTTCGCCTCTCTCTTGAAGAACATTGTCATTTTCAAAAACTACATTGGCAACGTTGTAGTTTGTATAAAAATAATGTGAATTGGTTTTTATGTAACAATGTACTTCGAACATTTTGAATTGACAATGCAACATTCTAATATGACGTTCTTCTTTTGCTTTGGATACAAAGCCATGTTCTAATTCCAATAAAACATGGGCTGCACATGATTGACGTCACAATTGAAATTGTCACGTCAGTTAAATTTTGAACAATGCCGGAGATCAAAATGGACATTTGTGCTGGTGTTGCTCGCTAGGAAATTAAATAAAATCATTCTAAAAGTATAAAAGTTTAAATGTATCTGTTCATTTTTATCGTTAAACTGTTGATTTTCTATAACGTTTTTTGTTCATCAAATCAAAATGACTGTCTTTCGAGCGTGTATCATGGTATTATATTTCCGCTTCGAAGTTTAAATTTTCCTATTAGATAAAATAATAGACAAGTCGTCATGCGTTTTAGTCGAAAAAACTTATTTTCAATCAATTAATACGAACAGGAGCATTATATTTGTCAACATTTAACACCTCGCTAATGCTCGGTATTAAGATATTGACAAATATAATGCCTACCCATGTTAAAATGAGCATAGAGCATGGCATGAAAGAATTAATTCTTAAATAAATACAAAATCAACGACCATTAATTGATTGAAAATAAGTTTTTTCGACTAAAATGTATGACGACTTATTTTATATCAAGAGGAATAAAGACACAAAGGGTCAAACAACCATCGAAATTCGAATGAGCGACCAAAAATGTCAGAAAATAAAAGAGATTAGAAACAATCTTCTCAAATGAATTGTTACTAAGACGAGTAAAACGATTCGCGTGATAGACACGAGTATTCCAGAAGGATATGTGCAATACCAGCCTCACATGTAAGAAACGATGAGTTCCATTCATTTTGATGGTCAAGTAAGGTCATGAACGAGGAAAGAACGAATAAATTATGACTATCATACACACACACTACGTTTCGGGTGCTGTTTTAAACCATTCAAAACAGTTTTAAAGCACTTGATATTAACCGTTAAATAGTTTAAAGAGAAGTTGAAAAATTTACAAATTTACTCTGTAAGACAGAACTATAGATTGACACCACATAATAAAACATAACCGTTACAGTTAGCTATTTTTTTTCTTTTAAAGGAACAAAGTGGAATAACCTAAGAGGTACGTAAAATGAGTCTATGTCTCATAAATATCAAGCCATATTTAAAAAAAACTGTTGGACACTAGAATTGGGCTTAAAGAATCATCTCATGATGTTAAAATAATCATTTTAGTAATGGACTGACGATTTGTCCATTGTAACTTATTTGTTATTCTTTCCTGCTGATCATTTTACCTGTAACAGTTTACAATTTTTCCATATCTACTTTAGTTTTTGCCTAAAAAAAAAAAAAGACACGGTTAAAAATTACCACTGAAGGACAATAACTCCTATGAATAGTTGACTGACGATCTCGACCATGTTGACTTACTTGTGGCACTTGTATAAGACTTACCGATCAATTTTGACGTCAAATGTTTTATTTTTCTATTGTAGTTTTCAAGATTAAAGCCAAAAAAGCAAGAAACTCAAAAATTAATAAAAATCGTAATATAAGGGCAAAAGCTCCTGTAAAAAGTTGATTTATGTTTCCACTGTGCAAATTTATTTATTGAACTTGTTGATATTTTTTGCTATTCAAAGTTTCTCTCTTATCATTAGAATTGTCAAGATATTAGCCAAAAGCTGTGAAATTTGCCAAACATTGGCATTTTGTGTAGAAAATTTTTTACAATGCATTATTTAAATCACTAGTAGTGATGTCCTTTACAATTAATCTTCAGTAACATGGGGAAGAAATCTATTGAGTAATACCAGTTTTGTAGCTATGCCACTGACAGAGACTGATGCCAAGTGTCAGGGATTTCAGAAGATCTCAGACTGTGGAGGTATAATATAATTAATAACATCTTGTTTCCCATACACGTATACTATGGCAACACATAGAATATAGTTAATGAAAGATACATTTCTTCAATTTAATTCACTAAGTTTCAAATGTAAGAAAAAAGTAAAATAACAAAAATACCAAACTCCGAGGAAAATTCTAAACGGAAAGTCCCTTAAACAAATGGCAACATCAAAAGCTGAAACACATGAACGAATGGATAACAACTGTCATATTCCTGACTTGGTACCGGCATTTTCTTATGTAGAAAATGGTGGATTAAACCTGGTTTTATAGCTTGCTAAACCTCTCACTTGTATGACAAAAATAGGGGTACAGCAGTCAACATTGTGTTAATCTTAATCACAACAAAAACAAGTAAATATGTCAACAAAGACAAACAAAAAGGCATATAGACAAAGCACATTAGCAAAAACGAAAGACAAGAATAAAAAATTTTACCATAGTACAACAACACAATGACGGAATGTACAAGTACTGAGCCACGTCAAATGGATAAAAGAAGACACCAACCAATATTTAGTTCTTTCTATAAATCGTATCAGATTTTAACCGACTAGAGAAATGTAAGTCAAACAATAACGTCTCTCAAAACAATTTCAAAGAAAGCGATAGTACAATGTAAGGTTAAAAACTTTCTTCATGAACATTACAATTGTAAATGATTTTTGAAAAACAATGTTATTCATCATCAGTTTAATATTCATAAAAAGAAAAAAATCATTACGTTCAACATCTGACGCAAAAAGATGGTTTATATTAAAATGTAAATGCCCAAAAAATCCCAATTAGGCATTTATATTGTTTTCTTGTTTTCTTGTTTATAATTTTTGTCACATTAAAAAAATCACTCTTTTAAGTCACAGAAAATGGAAACAAATTCATTTGAGGCTGAATTCATAATCTATTTACATATGTATGTGTTACACTTAATATTTCTTTATAATTATCTTAACTTTGAAGACAATTTGTGATTATTACTAATGAAAATTATTCTTTCCATAACTTGCATTTCCTTTATTTTTACTTTTTTTACCTTGATGAAGATTAAAGTATTACTTAAACAGATTCTAGTGGTTTACATGGCATTCGGTATGTTAAAGACAACGATATGAATCTCATTTTGATACATGTATATGATGTGAAAGGACATATTGGTGGAATTTCTGCTGCGGTTAGTATGATACTGTAACCAATTTTCTTTTTAATCATTAATTGGTGCCTGCTGCTGAACGTCTGGTCGCAATTATTTTATGCCTATTTTATGCGAACTTTTTTTTTTAAATCCTGAATCTGGCTAGATGGAATTTTTCTTTTTTTTTCTGTATGACCTTCAACAATGTGCAAAATTATAACGGATGGTAAGCTATAAAGGGCCCCGGCATGACAAAATGTGAAACAATTAAAATAGAAACACCAACGGCCTTATTTATGTTAAAAAGAATATACGAAGCACAAAAATGGCAGTTATCAACCAAAATCAACTACTGAATTACAGGTTCCTGATTTTAGACAAGCACAAACAGAATGTGGCGGGTTGAGCAACATAATTGTAAAAAATAGTTGGAGAGTTGTTGACTTATCATAAAGGCATGAAGCACAAAAAAACTAAAATACACAAAAGACATAAAGTACCGATCTAAGAATATTTGCAGTTACGGAAAACAGGTTCAAAGCCAATTTCAAATAATAAATAAACATTATTTTTTTTCGATTAAAATATCAATTAGTATGCAATACATAACAGATTTAGTGTAAAGATGTCATACATAGTGTAAAAGAATGACCTTGTGCAATGCAAGCTTTAATTTTGGTTTTCGGCTTGTTTTTTGTTCGTGGAGCACAAGTGAGTTTTGTCAATGTTTTCATAATTTTTATTTTTTTTTCTGATTTTCAGGTTCCAAGTAATCTGGCAAATGGATGGCCACATGCCTTCCTGAAGGGACATCCGTTTATCAAGTCCGGCAATCATTATCATATTTCTGCATATTTTGTTGATCCTGGTATGTATCTAAATGTGCTCAGTAAGTTCCGCTACTTTAAAGTGCTTTCAATGGGTTTTTTATTTGGTTAAAAAGATCTTATCAAAGCATACAAAATACTACCGACTACCGTTTTGCTTTAAGGTGAAGACCACCAGGAATCAATTATGCTGTATTTAATGTAGATAACTATTAGGCGTTTACCAGTGATTTAAGCACCTACATTTTACCACTAGTAAGATTATTTAGCGAGGGTGAAAATCACTAAAGAAGCTAAGGATAAGTAATTCAGCAGTTGTCAAATGAAATAAATATAGAATCTTATCAAGTGCAAGGGATTGTATAAGTTTGTTAGTTGCACATAGTTTACCCATGTTTACCGTTATAAAAACAATATCTTTTTTTGTATTCTTAGTATTCTTAAGGAATTGTAATACTTCCAGACTGATTTGACAGCACACTTTTATGTAACTATACATTAAAGTATAAAGATAGTTTTGTTTTTGATAAGACAAGCTTTGCGACTGAAACAATATAGTTTGTTTATTTTTCGATGCATCCTAATACTTTTCTATCTAAAACTTATATGAATGACAATTATTTCTCAGTTATTTAATTGATCTCTGGAGATATTTAATTTTGTTTGTCAGTCTAGCAATATCTTGGTGCATATATCTTTCGTGGTCAAGTTGAATGCTCGCTTGCTTTTTTTAAAAACCATTACGTATATTTTCATATTTGATTATTTAGCATGCTATCACATCTTTCCTATCTTTAAAGCAACTATTTGTGTCTGTGGTCGATCTACAACCCTTTACCATCAACAGGGTGTAGGAACGGATCTGTACATTCAGAATGGAACAGATCCGATTGCTGACTAAATCAAAATACCACATCTTCAGAGTGGAATAACTTCTACTCACTGGACAAAAGGAAAATGTTTCCCAACAATGGGTACGTTCTTTCTATAGGAATTAAAAACGAAAACAACAGTTGCTTGTGATCTGTTGACGAAATTATCAAACAGATTTATTCTTCTTAGGTTTAATACATTACTATGTATGACTAAAATGAAAATTTAGGTATCCAGTGAGTCATTTATATCGACAAATAAATCAACAACACACACACCCAAGAAAAAAAATATACAGAAAGTAAGTAAGTAAGTAAGTAAAAATCTCCCCGTCAAACTTGAGCTGCAGTAGTGCTGTTTATCGTAATACTATGCATAAATATATTGCCTATATGAATTGATGTAAAGTTAATCCAAACCGGAATTATTCATGGCTAATTACCACCAAATTAAAAAAATATTACGAGATAACCACTGATGCAAACTCCGAAACAACAGTCACGTTGCTTTGCTAAACTTTCATAAGTCAGCATAGCGTAGCAGTGAAGACGTTACTACTGTATCGGAGTTCGCCACTGACGAAGCTCCTGAATTGTGACAGGCACATGAGTATGTTGCGGTGTAAAAGTGTGGGTTTTATTAATATCTCAAACCTCCTCAAGTTGCTCTCGATACGTTAACTATCAAAAAGTGTTTGAAAAAACACACAATAAAATAAGTACAGGGTAAGCACGTAACTTTTAAATATTGGTGAACTAGCTAGGTATCAAAAACCAAAAGAATAAACTATTATGATAATAATAAACAATGATATTATTGTGACAAATGTTTTGAAATAATTTACCAACAAACTATTGGTCGAAGACTATTACTTCAATTTTAGAGGGACAAATATCAATTTTGGGCATTTTTATTAACAATTTAAGTTATCTTCTCAAACACTTTCTTTAGCATTACTAGAATAATACAAATGAATTCTTAACAATTTCTTGATAGAACGAATCTCTAATGAGTTATGATAATAATAATAATAATAATAAATTATTGTTTTAAAGTGTCACGTATTGATTAACAGTTAAACAATATGCAATTAAACATATGCAATATTTAAATAATCAACACCCAGCCAAACAAATTGACTTATGAGACATTGTAAAAATATATTACAAATTTGTATACATATATATTAATATCCTTTTCAAAATCGTATTGAACTGTTTCATCAATTGTTATGAATCAAATTAATATCCCAAACAGGTCAACATTTATTATAAAACTTTGGACATAATGTAAACATCATTCTCTTCTTATACAACTTAACAAATGGCCTTACTTTTTTATTACTGTATTATGTACTGTGAAAACGATTGGACTGGTAAAATCACTACTCTCCCAAAATTAAGGACTTACATTACGATTAAACATAAGAAAGAGACTGAACTTTATGTCAAAATGATCATCAAGAAACAAGAACGATCAGTTATGGCACAGTTTCGCCGTGGTATACTACCTTTGCGCATTGAAAGTGGGCGATTTAGAAATGAAGCTCCTGATATGAACGTTTCTGCACCTTCTGCGACGATGGATCTGTCTAAGATGAAAAACAATTCTTACTGTACTATAAAGCTTATAATGATTTAATTAGTTATCAAAGGTACCAGGATTATAAGTTAATACGCCAGACGCGCGTTTCGTCTACATAAGACTCATCAGTGACGCTCAGATCAAAATAGTTATAAAGCCAAACAAGTACAAAGTTGAAGAGCATTATTAATACACTTGTTATTTGAATTTGTGAACCTTGATGGAATTTTATTGATAATAGAACATTTGCTACTTTGATGACACTTCATCAAACGGACAAACCGCCAAATATTTAAATTTATTTTCTGTAAAATGAAGGAACTTCTTTACAAGTATTAATCTCATATTGCTTATTAAAAACATGAACTTTAAGTTTAAAGTGACTTATAGCTCCAACGAGCCTGATGTACATACTATTTTAGTATATCAAATCTTAAAATAGTCACAGTCACTCAAATGCACATATGGAAAACCAGCTCGAAAAAACTTTATTTATAATATATATTACATTGCAAGCAAGGCAACGAACTTATTATAAAAGATCCACGTCATTTGGACTTTGGAAAATAGTTGACTAGAGCTCGTCAGAATCGTGCCACAACTCCTTATTTTATGTTAAAAAATCGTCTTTAACTTACTCTTTTAAATGCACTCACCAAATAACATATGAGAAAGGGAGGGATATATTATTATATTTATTTTTGCGAAAATAATATTGATTGATTGATCGGTGTTTTAAGACCACTTTCAAGATTATTGTGCTATTTCGTGTTGGCCAGTCTTATTGTTGGAGGAAGCCGGAATGCCCGGAGAAACCACCGACCTTCGATAGGAAAACCGACAATCCTAATCAATTAAGATTGGAGTACTAGCTAGTGTACCTATCCCGTGCAGGATTCGAACTCACAACCTTAGTGTTAACTGGCTAGTGATACATTAGTTCAACTACTTAGACCACTCGTCCACCGAGGCCCGCGAAAATAAGAACACTGTAATGTAATTTAATAATAAAAACGTAAGAATATTATTAAATATTTTTGCTTGTTTCGTAGGGCTCCATTACTGGTACAACGTAAGAAAAAATATGAGTTGTGATGAATTTTATCCAATGTTCTTGTTGTATAATGACGGTAAATTAAATGCTTTTGGTTGGGGTTTCATCGCAGACTTGAATTCATCTAGATTAGAACATCCATCACATGCAGCAATATCTGTGAGTATTTTCCTTGCATTTATTCTTTTCACGTTTCAATTACTCCTATTAGACCTCTTTTAAGATGATTAGATGTCGCAAGAAGTATAAAATCGGGATTGCCTGTTTGAAATATCATATATAAAAAGTTTTTTTATGTTGTTTTCAAACTGTCTTCCTATTTCAAATTGCTTCCTTTACTGATGAGTCAAAAGTGCACTTTAAAGCTTAAAAAGTATATTTTTGCTGTTTTGTTACTTTTCATTGTCATGTGTTTATTAATTTAGCATTTTTAAAAAAGGAACTGACCATCTGCTGTTAATTTCATAAAAAGATAATGACTTCGAACGTCTTATCAAATTGTTCACAATATATTTGAACTGGTCAATTCGTAATGAATCAAGATTCAATGATCTATAATTTGACTAAGAGATATTATAACTTGCAAACAAAAACAAGTTTTATTATCAACCAATTTTTGGGGTAATTTTTAGTAAAATATTAAGAAATCAATAGCATATGCATAATTACTTGATGGTCATGTTAACATAACAATTTAAAAATAAGCACAAAACGACAGAATCGTTGGTTCTATATTGTTTTATTATATTTCAGGCTTTCATTAATCCACCACCAGTGTGTTTGTTCAACTCTGGAACATTATCTACGATGCACATCTATTTGTCCAACAACCCTGCTTTGAACAGATGCTAAGATGGAATTTACCACTGTGTTTATTAAAGATTATTTTCGCAAAATACATTGTTTGTGGTATTTCTTCCAAAGCTATCGGTGACGGGTCTATGTATATTTGAATTAGACAGACAAAAGTCAGGAGATTATAACATGTATTTATAAATAATGAAAAATTTAAATGGAAACATACAGTATAGTTAAATAAATTATGACAATTATAGATTATCGATGTGGCATTTCAAAAGAGAGGGTGTTTCTCTTACTCTTACTTTGAGTTCGATTACTCAAAAACCCTTTCCTTAAAATGTGGACATAAGCCACTAGAGACAAGAGACACATTTCATATTCTTTATCTGATGACATTTTTAAAATATGTCCACTGATTAAATATATTACCATTGATTTGCCAGAACACATCTCAATCTAAATGACAGAAATATCAACATCAAGCTCTCCTTTTGAATTTTGACAATATCCCGAATATGTCCAGAGTTCATTCCAGATTTGACTTATTAGTAAGTTATTTTATTACTGAAAATTGAATGCGTTGATCACTTGGCAATACTGTACCGCATCACTCTATTTTTCATTGGAGATAATGTTGTTTTCAAGTTCCATTACGTGACTAGCCTTTTTATTCAATTACCTCCCTTTGCTGTAGATTTACAGAATTTGGAGATAAGGAAGTCTTTTTTTTGTGCAGGATCTAAAACTAACATGTCCTGGAAAGCTTCTTTTAGTTGATACTTACAAATATCTTCAATAAGTTTGTGTACAATTCTTAAAATTAAAATATTAACGCATAAGGAAACCTAAAAACATCATGTTTTTTAAAAACATATTTTGGCCGAAAAGTCCAGACAAAGATGAGATAAAAATTATTTGACCTAAAAATTCAAACTCCAAGGTGTTTTCCTATATGCAGACACATCATGAATATTATCGAAATGTATGATCTGTATATTTGTATTTTGAATCTGTTTTTTTTTTTTACGAATATGGGTTATTTTATAGAGAAATAATACTATGGTAACGCTTCTGATTTTCAAACTAAAAATATTGAAAGTGTTCTAGGATGACAGCGTTAATGTGTACACGAACATACTGAAGACTAAAAAACTTGAACATATGCATATTTGCATATTTATTTTAGTGGCATTTATAATCCTATTGAAATGGTTGTCCTCGTGATATAGCAATATGTCCTATATGCAAAGTAGAGAAGTATTCAAAATTTTGTCATAGGTATCCATCAAGTTCAAGTAAACTGTTGCTGTTTATTATACTTTGTCCGCCTCTGAGTCCATTATAGTGTTCGTATCAGAGGTGAAATAAATAAATTTGAAGTGCATAGAATTTGCCTACAATATACGGTTAGAAAGTAAGTCAATGAACTACCGTTTTCTGCATAAATAAGCATTCCTAATTATGAGTAGCTATCAATTGAAAATGTTAAAAAGGCTATTTAAAGTCATGTCGTTTCTATTAAAGGTGTTTTAGGCCATCGTATACTTGCGTTACTGCCCTATTTTGAAAAGAAAACCTCAAGGATGCCAGGTTTATAAATGATATACATTGTATAGTTTATGAACATAATAAATGACGTATTTGGGTTGTTATCCTACGAAAGGGTATTATTACCAGTTGAGCTTTTTTTCAACTGTTCAGTTTCATTTCACCTTTCAGTCAATCAAAGTTACGACTGTGGTATACAAATATGGTCATCCGTAGAGACAGCAAGATGTATAAATACGCACACACGTGGGATCGGAATTGTAACGTTAAATCTCTATTTCTTGTATAGGGCGAGTGTTACACTCTCTACACATTAAAATACATTGAAAAAAAAAACTTTATGATCGGTCTGAAGGTTGGCTCCGGAAAAGCAAGATTTTGCCCTTATTCAACATATCTCCATTTTCAAGCGGAAGACTAAATTTTCCGACCGGTCAGCCTGCATTGCAAAAACTGGTGATTCTTAATTTGCATAAAATATTTGTCACTGGACATTGATGAATCAGCAATCAATTGACATGTCTTCTTATGAAAAAACATTGATTCTGAATAGCAAAGCATTTGGCAGTGGGAACTTAATATCAGAAAAATATGCAGATGTAAAACTTTAATGGAGCCACCTGAATTGATCGAATGTGACTCATTTCAAAATAAAGGTAAAAATATTGGCAGATATGCTCAGATTCCAAACGTATTCACGTCAGTGAACAGGAGGAAGTCTCCCATAAAATGTTTGTTTTTCTCTTAAACATCTAAGACGATTAAGAGGCAATTCTGATAATACAAAATGATTATGTGAATGTTTATTAAAAAAGTGTAAAAGTCTCTTTTTGATCAAACGAGTACATACAAACCTTTCTCTTATGATATTTACAGTTATGGTGTGCTTGTTCATGTGAGAATTTCCCATATTAATACACCGTCAAAATTTCATGTTTGGTTAAATTTCTTCAAAATACTGGTCTGGTCATCTGTTTTGTATATTGCCCTTTCATACTATTTTAAACTGTTAGGTTTTCTTACATATAATTCGATGTGCATCGTGTTGTCTATCATTTGTTGTTTAGTTTTATATGTAGTGTCTATCATTTGTTGTTTCGAAGTTATTGGTCTTTTGTTGGGCAATGTATGAAAAATATATGTTGAAAAACCTCGCCCGCAATTATAAATTATGTAATTCATTGACCGCTCCCGACATGTGTAATTTCAAGGCATATTTTAGCGGCGATCTATGTCTTTCAAAATTACTGCACTTTTTTGTATCCCTGGTCCACTACATATAAAACTAAACAACAAATGATAGACAGCACAATGCACATCGAAATATATGTAAGAAAACCTAGCAGTTTAAAATAGTATGAAAGGGCAGTATACAAAACAGATGACCAGACCAGTATTTTGAAGAAATTTAACCAAACATGAAATTTTGACGGTGTATTAATATGAGAAATTCTCACATGAACAAGCACACCATAACTGTAAATATCATAAGAGCAAGCTTTGTATGTACTCGTTTGATCAAAAAGAGACTTTTTACACTTTTTTAATAAACATTCACATAATCATTTTGTATTATCAGAATTGCCTCTTAATCGTCTTGGATGTTTAAGAGAAAAACAAACATTTTATGGGAGACTTCCTCCTGTTCACTGACGTGAATACGTTTGGAATCTGAGCATATCTGCCAATATTTTTACCTTTATTTTGAAATGAGCCACATTCGATCAATTCAGGTGGCTCCATTAAAGTTTTACATCTTCTTATTTTCTGATATTAAGTTCCCACTGCCAAATGCTTTGATATTCAGAATAAATGTTTTTTCATAGGAAGACATATCAACTGATTGCTGATTCCTCAATGTCCAGTGACAAATATTTCATGCAAATTAAGAATCAGCAGTTTTTGCAATGCAGGCTGACCAATATTTTTAGTTTGAAAATCAGAAGCGTTACCATAGTATTATTTCTCTATAAAATAACCCATATTCGTAAAAAAAAAAACAGATTCAAAATACAAATATACAGATCATACATTTCGATAAAATTCATAATGTGTATGCATATAGGAAAACACCTTGGAGTTTGAATTTTTAGGTCAAATAATTTTTATCTCATCTTTGTCTGGACTTTTCGGCCAAAATATGTTTTTAAAAAACATGATGTTTTTAGGTTTCCTTATGCGTTAATATTTTAATTTTAAGAATTGTACACAAACTTATAGAAGATATTTGTAAATATCAACTAAAAGAAGCTTTCCAGGACATGTTAGTTTTAGATCCTGCACAAAAAAAAGACTTCCTTATCTCCAAATTCTGTAAATCTACAGCAAAGGGAGGTAATTGAATAAAAAGGCTAGTCACGTAATGGAACTTGAAAACAACATTATCTCCAATGAAAAATAGAGTGATGCGGTACAGTATTGCCAAGTGATCAACGCATTCAATTTTCAATGTTCAGTAATAAAATAACTTACTAAAAAGTCAAATCTGGAATGAACTCTGGACATATTCGGGATATTGTCAAAATTCAAAAGGAGAGCTTGTTGTTGATATTTCTGTCATTTAGATTGAGATGTGTTCTGGCAAATCAATGGTAATAAATTTAATCAGTGGACATATTTTAAAAATGTCATCAGATAAAGAATATGAAATGTGTCTCTTGTCTCTAGTGGCTTATGTCCACATTTTAAGGAAAGGGTTATTTAGTAACCGAACTCAAAGTAAGAGTAAGAGAAACACCCTCTCTTTTGAAATGCCACATCGATAATCTATAATTGTCATAATTTATTTAACTATACTGTATGTTTCCATTTAAATTTTTCATTATTTATGAATACATGTATAATCTCCTGACTTTTGTCTGTCTAGTTCAAATATACATAGACCCGTCACCGATAGCTTTGGAAGAAATACCATAAACAATGTATTTTGCGAAAATAATCTTTAATAAACACAGTGGTAAATATCATCTTAGCATATGTTCAAAGCAGGGTTGTTGGACAAATAGATGTGCATCGTAGATAATGTTCCAGAGTTGAACAAACAGTCTGGTGGTGTATTATTGAAAGCCTGTAATATAATAAAACAATATAGAACCAACGATTCTGTCGTTTTGTGCTTATTTTTAAATTGTTATGTTAACATGACCATCAAGTAATTATGCATATGCTATTGGTTTCTTAATATTTTTCTAAATATTACCCAAAAAATTGGTTGATAATAAAACTTGTTTTTGTTTGCAAGTTATAATATCTCTTAGTCAAATTATAGATCATTCAATTCATTCAATTCGTCAAAAATTTTCTTTGCTCCCCAGTTTTGATGTTCTTCTTTGGCTTTAGCAATTGTATAATGTGAGGCATATCCGCCCAAAACGCGTCTTGATTTGGATCCTTTGAAATACCCTTTTTCCGCTTACTAGATATAACGTATCCTGCTCTGCCATCATTCCTTTTATGCAGTGACGTCATATCCTTGATGACGTCTCGCTATGTCTTACGTCACCACATTTCGATAAAGGACATAGATTTGAGACAAAAATGGCCATAGATTTGAGTTAATAAAGGACATAGATTTGAGACAATACAGGACATAGATTTGAGACAATAAAAAACAAAGATTTGAGACAATGAAGACATAAATTTGGAACGTCTATGTAGCAATATTAAAAAGGACATAGATTTGCGGAATGGACATAGATTTAAGGCTGGACATGGATTTGAGGCTTATATATAAATATTACAAAGAATAAGAGGAGAAGGAATTTGCTGAATGTCACAAGC